TAGTATTAAGTATCTTTTTTCTTGAAGAAATTAAAATATTACGTTAAGAATAAGAAAACCTACACAGTTGCATCATATAGTTGGATTGAATCCAACGTTTCGTTAGTTGTAAATAGATCGGTTGGATTTATTTTTTCAATTTCTTCTTGAAGACTATTGCACTCTACTATTTGTGATTCCGCCATTTTTCAATTCTTCACAAAATTTCTAAAGAGGAAAGATTTATATATTACAATAATTGTAAAAATTAAGAGATAAATGGAGTAAAGAATAGTGAGAAAAATGGAGAAGAGAAAAAACCTAATTTTAAGCATTTGTTAAAAAAAATTATGGGTAAAAATATAATCAGATTAAAACGGAAGTCTCATGTATATACGTATTATGTTCTATATATGTACAGGCACGGTTAAAAATAGGTAAAATGAGAAAGTTAAAATTGAATTATAAAACTACGTTAAGTTATAATTAAAGCGATAAATAATTGTATTGATGAGAGGATTCAATGAACATTTTTTCAATTATTTATTTATAATTGTAATATTATTTTGTTAAATATAGAAAGAGCTGAAAATAACAAAACGATAAATCAAAATAATAAAAAGAAAATAAAATATAAAAGAATAAATGTATATATTTATATGTGATTTTGAATAATAATAAAATTGAGGATTAGAGAAAGGAAATGAGAAAATAAGAAAGCGAGATGACCAGAGAGTATAAAAATCAGAATGAGAAGTAGAAAATGAAAGAGCGATCAATTCAGGATTGGAGAGAGAAAACGAGACAGCTGGAGAATAGAAAATGAAAAACTATAAAAGCGATAGAACGAGAGAGTGAGAGATTGAGAAAGTGATAAAGTGGAGGATTAAGGAGTAAAAATGAAAGATAGTAAGAAAAATTAAAAGAAATATAAATTAACAGAGCGAAAGAATAAAAATAGAAAAAGGTATAATGATAATAGATAAATAATAGATAATAGATAATAGATAAATGTATAATAACAAAGAAAGATAATTTACCTTCTTTTAAATAGATTAAGATTTCTTAAGAAAATTTTATTTAAATTATAGAGATTAAATCTGGTTTTCCTTGTGACAGTTTTCGTTCCATATGAAGTAATAACAAACGAAATTTGTTGATCATTTAGAAGATTAACTTCATATCGCAACGAAATACAAATGGAATATAGCCGTAAATATTTTACTAATCAATAATTTAAAAGTTTACTTCATGAGCAACTGTCAAAAGTGTTCATATAATCATATGGTTATCACTATATGGTAGATTCATTGTAGCGGTTAAACGACGCGTCCAAAACTTTCGTGCAAATTATATGAAGGTAAGTTTAACTTTAACATGTTACAAAATATTGAAAATTCAATAGAGGAAAAGTATTATGACTACTTATTTAAAGAGAAAATATAGTATATATACATATATGTATGTATACATGTATAATAACTATCACCTGTATTTATAAAAACTACTATCTTTTTCTCTATTAGTACTTGCTTGCATAAAATTAAAATTGTAAATATAAAAATTGTAAGTTTGTAAGATTTTTTTCTTATAAAGTAATGATTTTTTACGTTTTAGTTTTCAACTTCACATACGCACGTTCGGCATATTATACGTATACATATATTATACGTTACTATTAAACATTATTATACGATACTTTGGATTCTTCGTCGTGGTGATTACTAAAACGACGCGTTGAAAATTTTGTGCAATTTATATGAAGGTAAGTTTTTAAAACATTATTTTTTTATATATGCAGGATTGGGAAGTAATGTGTTGTACTTGTAACTTGTAACGATATCATTTTCGTTATTTTTTTCAGTAACAATCATTACTTTTTTTTGTCTGTAATAATAACAGTAATGTCGTTATATTTTTACAGTAATGGTAACGAATTTGCCGTTACTTTTATCGTTACTTTTTATACTTTTATACTTCTATTTTCTTATTTTATAATATATTTTTAATTTATTAATCTGAATCGACTGTGAAATGTTACAAACTACTAACAATAAGATGAAGAACGCTAAAATGATACAAAACGGATCTTGGTGATTAATAATTTTTATATGTTTAATTTATAATTCTCAGTTCAAATAATTATTCACCGCATAATAGTCGATTTTCAACACGCAACTTTAAACTGAATAATAAAATATATGTAAATCACAATTAAATTTCCAAAGTAATTTAATAATTTGATGTTAATGGATATCTTTTATTTAAACTGAGAATTAGATTTACATATAAAAATATTATTTAATATCAAGATCTGTTTTATACATATTGGCTAAAAGTGAATGAAATTAATACTTAAAAACAGTAAATTTAATCTGTCTATAAAAATAAGTAATATAAAAAAATTGTTTATATACAAACTAATTTAGAGAGTTTTAAGTTTTAACATTTATTACATTTACTAATGATTACCAAATAATATAAATTAAAAATCTAATTAAACTTATTTTAGTACGAAAAAGTAATGGTGATGGTAATGGTAAAAGTAACGCGTTACTTTTTAAAATAAAAAAAATAACGATAACGGTAACGCGTTACTTTCTTAAGATAACGTTCCCAATCTTGCAAATATGTATACAAAGTAATTCGAAATAACTGTTTGTCTGATAACTCTTAAAAAAATAAAACAATTAAAACAATTAAGACAATAAAAAAATTCTTTTTATATCAAAATTTAAGTATAAGTTTTCCTTTTATCTCTTAAAATAATAGAGATAGATATTATTGTCTTATTTTTAGACACCTATTCAAACAGGTGTTAATAATATTGAATTTTATTCTGATATACTTTTATATTTTTGTATTAATTAATACCTTTATATATAAATATATAAAATATATATAAATATATATAAAATATATATAAATAATACTATTAATTTTTTGATAACTTTATATTATTCATATTCTTAAAATATTTTAATATTTTTATACAGGGTGTCCCATTTTATATTTGACAAATAAATATTTAGAAATCGCAGAAGTTTAGAGGAAAATATTTTAGATAAAAGTTGTAAGATTTTAAGGGGGACGTATTTTGATGAAGTCGCTTTTTTAGAAGAAAAACAATATATAAAAATTACATATTTTTTGCAAAGCAGCTGTATATTTTCTTTACATCAATTGATTCGACTTTTTCACAGAATATAAAATTATGAAAAAATTAATAGTTTTACGAGATATTTCATATTTTATATTATTGAAATAAGACACGATAGAGTATTAAATATCACGGAAAGATTTTTTGGTAATTTTACCTTAATACTTCATATACAGAATAATTGGAGAAATCGTATTATTTAAAAAAAATCATATTCTATTTAAAAAAGTGGAGATGACATTCATATATCTATTTAATTCTACCACCTAGAAAAACTTCTAAAACCAATTTCCAAATATTTGACTGTCAAATATAAAATGAGACATTCTGTATATGTATAGAGTAATTTAATAAATCATATTATATGATAACAAATATATAATTCTATTTTAAGAAAGTAATGACCTTTGTATTTTTTGGTGCTTTTAAGAAAAAAAAGTAACAAAAATATGGTTAAAAAATAATAATTGCCTTTAATAGATATATAATTATATATTGCATGTTGCATAATTCTTTGAAAGAACAATTATGGGTTTACATCAATTAATTAATATTTCATCATTATTTTTGTATAAAATATTAAGGTACAGATATAAAAATTGAATAATTTACGAGATATTTCATATTAAAAAATGTCAATTTTCAACGTCTATTTTCTTAGAAATGATCAGCATTATCACAAAAAAAATTATATTCTACGTTTTTGACATATTTTTAAGTAAAATATCTTACTTCGTAGTTATATTATCAGTTATAGGATATTATATACATACAATATATAAATTATATACCTACAAATAATTTGTATAATATTTATATTGTTATATTTAATATATAAAATTCAATATCATTATCATCTATTTGAATAAAATTGAAATTGTAGACACAAAAATCATAAATTTGTGATTTATTTCATAAAAATATTTTTTTACGTTTCAGATTTAATCTTCATATGCACATTCAGCGTTATATACGAAAAATTATTATTATTCAAGAAAACGAAGGTCTGCTTAAATAATCATCTTACTAAGTACAGGTAATTATTATTATTCTTGTATGTATCATATATATATATATATATATATATATATATATATATATATACTGGTTCAAAAAATTAAAGGATCACCTGTTCTATTCTCTAAAAATAGGCAAACTTTAAGATAGAGCAATTTCGTCAAAAATGATCATATCGAGATGTTTAAAAAAGCATTTTACAGCTTGAAATCTGTACTGTCCAAATCGATACTTTAGAAAAC